CCAAGGAAAGCACGTACTTTGTAGGATCTATAGTACAAACAAATCGCGGTCCGAGACATATTTACAATCTTGCATCACTAACAAGACTAGACACGACACAACAACAGCAGCAACAGCATCGCAATACAACAGACCAAACCACTCGACACSATGAAGCTTCTTTCCAACCTCTTGATCCTTTCCGCCATCGCCGGTGCGAGCGAGGGATTCTCTGTGGTGCCGGCAGGCACCAAAGCGACGGCTTCCAGCACGGAACTCAGAGCAGAAACTGGACGCCGGGAGATGGTYGCCGCCACCCTKGCAGCGGGAGCCGCGGTGCTTCCGTTCGGACAGGCCGCCGTTGCCGCGTATGTTCCGCAGGTCAACGACATGAAACAGATATACTGTGCGTTCCGGTGAATCGAATTGAAATCGAATCGAATCGAATCGAATCGAATCGAATCGAATTGCCCTGCCTTCTTTCGTTTCGATGATGCGTGTTCTGCCTCGCCGTTGGCGTTTGTTTGGTGGAGTTTGATGGACATGGATGGTGTGCCGATGACGGAGGTTCAACTCTGGGGGGAAGCAAGAACGAATCGAATCGAATCGAATCGAACTGATTTAAGCAAAGCAGGACGACGCAACGATTCTGTTTTGTTTGTGCTTTCGTGTCGTTGGGACGGGACCTATCAAAAACGGAAGGGAAGCATCGTTATTGATCTTTGGATCGCSTGAAATTCCTTCCGTGCGTTCCGTGCTGCGTTGTTGTTTTGCCCCGTAGAACACCAATTGCGCAAATGGATCACCGCATCGCGCCTCTCACAAATCGTTTTCTTTCATGGGTTTCTTGGTCGTCGTGTGGATGTTTTTCTTGGAATCGTCGGCACCACGATTGTTTGTTCGATCCGTATTATTGGACGGGGGATGGACCGTGGGTTCGGCTGAATTCGAAAACTTAAAAATGTTGCATCACGGGATGACCTATCCGAATGCAATGGTTCGGGTAATGRCGACGAATGCATGCCATGCTATCCTTATACATTGAACATGTTGGCACAGTCCTCGGAGAATCCCTCGACAAATTGATTGCCAAGCTCGAGGACCCTAGCCAGATGGAAGCGGCACTTACTGGCGTGAAGCAATTCAACAAGGATCCCGATTTCTACAGTACCTACACCCGCAATTTCATCCTGAAGTCCATCAAGAAGGGTGCCGACAGCGATCCCCGGGTCGGATACATCAAGCAGGCCTCGGCGCTGATCAGCTCGCTGGAAGGAGTCCTCACCGGTGGAGACGCCCTCATGAACGAGAAATCCACCAGCGCCGAGGCCGTGGCAAGGGTGAAGAAGGCCCAGGCACTGATCGCGAAATTCATCGACGAATGCGGCGTCGAGGATCCAAAGCTCGCGGCGTTCGTGTCCTCTCACAAATAAACACACATAGAATAGATGGGGTGGTGTGCGTCGCATTGCTTCGGTTCATTGCGAGGTGGACCTCGGTGCAGCATTGCGGCGTGGCGCTTGTCGGCGTCCTAAAATGTCATAGTAATACATAATGTCATCGGCCCAATCATCRATCCATTATCAATCRTCGTTTGCAAGAAACATAGAAATTGCGMTACCTCTCTCTCCCATATTTGACCACGATGTAATCATRATATTCACTCTCSGGCTCCTTTTGAATCAGAACGAGAAGAAGTGTTTAATTGGGTGTCCAAGAGAAAGTATGATGAACAACTCAACAGAAAAGGCCCCCTGAATTTAAGACGCAATACAGTTACTAATAGAAAATTGTCCCTCTCATGGCACCATATTGATGCTAGGATGTTTCTCTCTACAACAAGTCACCAGAACCATCTATGACCCTCTCTCAAGGTGCTGGCGCCGCCACGAGGACAGCAAATAATGTCCAGTTCCACTCTCTTTGCTGGTAGCACCTTTTATCGTTGTCAATTAAAAACAAAGAGAGGCACACCAAGAGTTTTTGGCCCAGGCATGCCCCCTTGAGACAAGAAGCATACAGAACACAATATTTATTCCAGCAAAGATAGCCGGCAAGAAGACAGCATCTGGTTGAGGAGGACGATCAAGTAGATGGGTTGGGCAGTGAGGCCGGTACTGCAAACTACTTGGAAGAGGAGTTTGTCTCATTGATTATCCTCATCAAGCAGATCATACTAGTACTACCAATTGATAAAGGAGGCTGGCTCATGGTGGTTCACAGACATGATGGATAGAGCTATCCTTGTGGAAGAACCAAGGATTCCATTAGGAACAAATTCAATTGTTTGTGGAGACAGAAGGCACCTACTAGAAATCCAATTGTGCCAGAGTCTTTCCAGCTTCTTGCAAGAGAGGCCCATTGCTTGATTGGTATCACAGCAAACCTTAGTAGATCTGGAGAGGAATATTTTGATCCACAGAAGGGTTTTATCAATGATGAGGATGTTGACAACTTGGAGGAGTGGGATCTTCATCTCCAAAAACAGTAGTACTACTAGCACAGAGCAATGGGGAGGAACCCATTGTGACCACCACTGTCACTCCAGCAGCAAGAAATGAGTCATTTCAGTTGGCATTCCAATTCCCTTGTGCGTTAAGTCTGGTTGAGCGCCTAAAAACTGTCTGTTGGGGCCCTACTCCTATTTAATGATTGTTCCCATCAGACTACTGCTGTCTGTAATATATCAGATTGTGGGTATGATTCATATCTACACTACATATATATGACACATATCTAGTATGATTGTCCAGTTTTTTTATCGTTTAGTTTAATGGGAATCACCCAATGATTAACAGAAGTAAAAATTCCTTGTTTCTTTTCAATCATGCCCCCATATCCTGCTGGCACTTCTTCTCCTAGTAGTACTAGTGCAACTAKCATACTACTACTACTAGTAGTAGTAGTACTAAGAATAGCAGTAGTAAAAGCACTTCTTCTTACAAAAGTAGTACTAGTACTACTAGTACTACTACTACTACTAGTAATATTAACTCTTTTGATCAGAGTAGAATTTGTACAGAAATTTATTTTGAAGCTACTACTACTAGTACTATTAGTAGTACTAGTGACAACAGCTTTCAATTGAGACTTAACTCTGCCAACTGGTGCTTCTTCCTATTCTAGCATGACTACTAGTACTACTAGTAGTAGCACAACAAGTTACTTGTAGCAGTGCACCGGTACCATAGCTGAGTACGTACTCATCGTATCATACTACTTCTCCAATTGATTCGAAATTCTTCAAAGTTKTGTACGGTACGAATAGRAGAAATTGCCGCTAAACGATCGGAACGATTCGTTTGTTGATGATTGTTAGATGTATTTGATTCAACTGGGAAACCACGTCACAACCAAAAGTTATTCTTCTGATCAGTCACGAACCCATCATGACACGAAAAAGCTGTGTCTACAACTAGAGTTTGTCTCGTGCAATTCAGTAGAATTCCTACGGAACGAAACGGATGTGCTTGCTGAGTGAGCGGGGCAATCGAAAGCAAGCAATTTTGAGAGCAAAATGAGTAAGTACGTCTTGTGTGCTGGCACCTGTCCAACATCACTCCTATTCGAAAGTAAAAGTGCCGTAGGAGGTTCGTACGAGTAGGAGCACTCGTGTCTAAAGTACAAACAAAAGCACRAACACCAGGGTTAACGACCTCAACCAGCAGCGGCAACAACACCGACGACAACTCGTACAACCAACACATTGACTTGCTGTGTTGGAAATTCCTACTGATTTRTCAATTAAAACATACCCGTTGTATCGCAGCGAAACTCGTCAATCGAGAAATAGCAGGTTTCGATCCATTCCGCATTCCAGCGTTATAATCTTAACCAAAACAAAAATTTCCTCCCTCCTCCCTCCAGTTTCAACACTTCCAGATAGATAGCGCTCTGTAGAACGACTCGCACTTTCTCGACGTCCACGAACCCACTTGCATCCAATCCGTAATACTCAAGCAAAAAAATCACAATGAAGACCACGACAGCAATCATCCTCACGTCAACAACCGCAGCCGTTTCCGGTTTCTCCGTCCTCCCCACACAAACAAAGACACACGCCGCCATCCACACRAACACACAGCTATACGGATTGTTTGACGGAGTCAAAGATGCCTTCACGCAACCACCCTCGTCACTGGATTCCGAGAGAGAAACACCGATTGATCGATGGATGGGATGGAGTGTTGTCTCCGAGAACGAAGTAAAGGAAGGCTCTGCCGCACCAGTTGGTACGTTTTGTTTCCCTTCGTTCCGACTCGATTGGCTTTGTTGCGATGCGATTATCAGCTGACGCGATGCGATCAGCTGGAAACGACTGTGATTTCCATGGTAATCTCGCATACGCCACCAATATCTCACCACCATTCGGTGTTTTTTTATGTTGCTGTATTGCGTTATCTTGCTCCATTTTGTTCCGACTCGACAGACTTTGTCGATTCCATGGACGAAAAGAATTACATTGGCGTCGAGCTGACGAAACCCATGGGCATTGTTTTCGAAGAAAACGATTCGGAATACGGTGGAATTTTTGTCCAGTCTGTCACAGAGGATGGCGCCGCCGCCAAGGACGGGAACGTCCAGGCYGGGGACCAGCTCATTACGGTGGGCACTAAGAACGTCAGCGGCCTCGATTTCGACGAWGCCCTCGGGGCCATCATCGAGTCCACCGATGAGTTGACGTCCCTCAGCTTCTTTCGCGGAACGGCCAAGCAATTCTATGGACCCACCGGGCCTAGCAAGGAATGGCTTGGAGCCTTTTGCGAAAAGGGGGGCGTTGCCGCCTCTGCTGCGGCATCGGAATGAAGAGTCGGGCGACTGTCGAATGCAAGTTCCCCACCTTCAAACATCCAACGACCTTCACTACTAACTAGTACAGTGTTGCACAAAACGATATTATTATTATTATATTAATCTTACGAAGATTAATCAAGTCCTAAACAAAGCGGAAGACTGTCGACACACCGATTTGACAAAAACGAAGAAAAGAAACTGCTATAATTCCGATTACAACGCTTAAATAGACTTTATTATGACATTACCGAAGACAATCAGTTTTGTATGGTTCTCTTTCACTTCCGAAAGTTTGTTGACACTACGTTAACTTGTTTCGATTTCTAACGTASAGGCGTTGTTCTTTAGAAGCACAAAACCCTCTTTGATCACAGGTACGCCGACGTTGTCACYGTTTACTACGAACTTTGTCGTTCCCCATGGCGTTGTTTGTTGGTTGSTTTGACCATCGGCATGCAGGCATTCCTTTCTTTCTGTCCAGGCATCGCATGTTAAGGGTGTTAATTCTTCTCAATACTCCTACTAGTACTAGCAAGTAGTACGTAATAGTCGTGCCATTTTCATTATCGATTGAAACACCAGTAGTCCTGGCTATTTCTAAAACTGAATTTTCGCCTCCTGATTCTTTGCTCAAAAACATTAACAATATTTCTGTCTTACTAGACTAGGAGAGACCCTGGCTCACAAAGTGTACCAGCATGACACACGTAATCCCTCTGATGGATGTGSTGGCAAGTAGTYCCTACGCTGGTACCTTAAAAAACCCATGGCGGAAGCTGCATYTAAAAAAAGAAACYCCAAAACAGGCCCCAGCTTTGTGTTTAGTAGTCCTGTTTCGAGTACACAAACCCTTGCTGTACTGTATGAATCTTTCAACCAGAATATGTTGCGTATGCTGATGATCATTTTGATTAGTGGTTAATTGTACCCTACTCAAGCCAGAATTTTATTGTTACCAATGGGGAYACACTAGACAGTGTTGTAGAAGAGAGGAGTCCAAAGAGCTGGAGGCAGCAAGAAAGAAGAAATCCAAAGCGGCAGTATCTTCTTCTTCTTACTTCTTGAATGCCAASGCTACTACCAGTTTTGTTGTGTAGTTGCTATCAAAGGGGAAGAATATGTAGATCACAAGAAGGTAGATTTCCAGCTTCTTCCTGTACCAACACTTGAAGYGTTTTGTTAGTAGAAGGAACAGAAGAAAATCTCTKCAAAGGAAGAGAAGAACAAGTTGTTTTGTATGTGGATGCGAGTGAAGAATCTTAGAGGAGCCTTCCAGGAGGGACTCTGACCAAGCTCCATTTCAGGAGCTGAAGGAGGAAGAGATTGTAATCAGGGACACAGCAGCAGTATTAGGGAGGGAGAGAGCTAGATTGCAACAAGATATTCAAAGCTGACTTACAGGGAGGGCTTAGGATTAGAGAGCTGCTTGCAATATCCCTACTGAAGTGCAGGAGGGTTATTCAAGGACCAGTTGCTGAGGTTTAGGAACCGCCTTAGCAAGCGCCTAATATTAGTAAGTTTGTTTGTGGAGAAATCTCTTCTTGGAATCGATTTCGATTTCGATTTTATAACCCTATTTTGTAGTGACCAGATATCAATTTCGTTTCGCAGATTTGAATTCTCATCAAAAAGTGAGCTCAGGAACCTCAGGCTGTGCGAGTACGAGCAGTACTATGTGAGGTAATGCCCATACTGCATTCACGAGTAGCTAGTGAATAACCCTCACACAATATTTTTTACTTGGATCCAAGACGGGTTCAACGACGCTGCCCGCTGTACAGTACAGTAATTTTTTAGAAGTTCGGTACTCAGTACGTACGTACTGCTACTTCGTATTACTACTATTAAAGTACGAAGTACAGTACAGAAATTTTTCATTCCCTTGTGCTTCAGTAGAAATCCTAGCAGTACGAACCTGTCTCACGATGTAATAACAAAAATACCACGCGCTGGTAATTCGTATCGTGCCTGTCCCGCGGGCGGGATCATCTTCTCTTGACTCTCGACCTCTTGTTTCATTCCCAGATCTCTTCCGCAACAACAAAGGAACATTTGTGACAACTCTTCCGCTCGGTTCACTCGGCTTGAATCTATTTCAATCCGCAGAACAAARTACAGCTCAACTCAATACAAAACGTCACAAAACARCACAAAATCGTCYCCTTCGGCATAAGGAATCGAAAGCAACAAGGAACAAGAGCTCGGGACAGTATACACGGTGCAACACGGCACACCTACTGACAGAAAGATCGATTGGTTCGACTCGTCAGCACTTTTCTGGAGAAGTTTCAGGAAAGAATTGGACTACTCGTCTGCCCTGAAGCGCTGARAWACCATAGTTTTTKAACTGGACCGACTTAGTTGCCCGACTTCTTCGGATAGAAACAGAACTGGARGAAAAAGTGAGCAACGCGAAAGCAGGAAGMCCCAAATTACGGGAAGTTCCCCACCCACCGACATTCATYCAGAGATCATTTATTTTCCCACAAAAGAGAGCTCCCACCAGCGCTCTTCCCACACAAGAAAATCGTTCGAATCATGTCTTACAATTCCCGGGCCAAGGTGAATCCGTTTTTGATCCAGGACAGCAATTACGACGATGAGGAATACGCCTGGGACGACGAGGAGGATGACGCCTGCCACGACGATWGCGATGAGGACGAAGACTATGGATACGGCAACGACGACGAGCAACAAATGCTGATGAGCAACAGAGGAAACCAGAGGTACAATTCCGAGCGYGTTCGCGAACGCGGACGCAGATACGAACACGAACACTCGGTCGAATTTTCTGTCCTCCRGGGCGGTCGACAGAGCTACCACAACCACGGCGGAYACAAGGAGGAACGATACAGCAACGGCAGCTATCACCCCTACCACGGGACGCACACGCCTGTGTTCTGGAAGTACGGCCTCCTCACGGTGGGAACTATTGCTCTGGCGATGGCCTTCGGAGCACCATCGTTTTCAGTCTCCTTCTCGCCCGTCGAAACCAGCGACGTCGARGGCAACGCCGGCTTTGCCTCCGGCGGTTTCGCGAGCCCAAGTGGCAGCAACAGGGACGACTACCGCATCGTGGTGCTGGGGGAACGCCACTCCGGAACCCACTGGATGAGGGACCGGCTCCGCGAATGCTTCCCCGACGTTTCGGTCTCTTCGAGGCTGCAGCGGCAGGGGTACCTYTTTCAGGACGACGAGGCCACGGCACGGTCAAAGTGGAAGCTGCTGCAGCAGAAGAAGCGATCGCCGGCCAGCAGCCACGGCAACGAGGAAAACGACAACARCGATAACAACAACGACCGAGGTTTGCACCACGGCAGAAGTGCGTCCGCCGCTCCCGATACCCGCACGATCGTCGTCCACGTGACCCTCAACGCMTACGACTGGCTGGAGCGGATGCGGCTCAGCCCGGAATACGCCCCCGCCCACATCGGGAGCCACCCCGGGGGTGGCCACCCCGTGCCCCTTCCCTGGTCCGACTTTCTGTCGAAGCCGTGGACGATGGAGCGGCCGGAGATCGATCTGGAATTCGAGAACWCCACCGGGCCGGTCTGCCAGATGGGCTTTGCATACCAGGAGGTCGTCAGCTGCAGGGGGAGAAGGGAGAAGGTCCCGGAAAAGTCACAAAGAATCGCGCCGCCCCGCATCGGGGATCCGGTGTACGAGCTCCAACCCGGCGGTCTCGCGGCCGCTTCCGAACGAAACCACACCGGCGGTACCCCGTTTCCGTCCCTCATCGACCTGCGGGCCGCCAAGCTGAAGAACCACGCGAACGTCGTCGACTCGTGGCCCTCCGTGGCCAAGCGGATCCACGTACAGTACGAATCCACCGCCGAGGTCTTTCGCACCACCGTGGTGGGGGGCATCCTRGAAACCACCGGGTGGCAGCCACCTTCCTCTAGCGAGGATTCGTGGCCCTGCCTGAACGGCTTTCTTCCGCCRCCCTCGCTGGGATCTCCCCACCAAATGACCGAAGAGTACGCGAGATACGTCACCGATCKCMTCGATTGGGATACCGAGCGAGCGGTTGCCAACTATGCTCCGTGGAGCGAAGAAATCCTGAAGGGCCTTGTTGCAAGCAGCAGCACTCTGGGTGACGAACAAGATGGACGGACTTCCMAGCAGCCAGGGGAAGAAAAAGAAGAAGAAGAAACGGTCCCCATTTCCTCCGAAACAGCGCAGGTTCCGCTCCACGCCGACAGTGGAGATGCAGACAGGGGCGAAGAAAAAAGTACAACCACCGAGGGAACTTACGCAGATCAAGCACCGACAACCCCTGAATCCGCTGCCCAAAGTGGCAGAGACAAGGATAACTCCAGCGACGAATCACCAAAGCTGGGTGTCAACGAGCAAGAACAGCTTTCTTCGTTGAACGAAGAARTGGAGGACAGCGAAAGCAAGCCACAAAAGGTAGAAACAACAGCAACAATAGATCAATCGCCTTCTGTGGCAGAGAAATCSGAGAAGAGCGACSAAACGACAACCGAGAGCCAATCCTCCCCGTCGCCCTCTCCTACCAATTCTACCATCACAGCGGAACCTGTTCTCCCAAGCAGGGAAAGTCCGAACWGCAACGAAGAATCGGTCACAGTGAAGAACAATAACGGAATGGAAAACCAAGCCGATGGTGTACCGAACCAGGAGAGCGATGCTTCCAACTAGTTTTCTTCCATTAGAAACGCTATTTATGCAAGCAACGACATGATTTCACAAAAGCGSAATGYATTGAAAGTGCTTTGTCCGTTCCAAATGAGAGTTTGAAACGGTTGGATCCGTTGACTGGGAGGAGAGCACGGTGCGACACAGTACGGCTCGTGGCTTATTCTTGGCATACACCAATTATTTGCAATTCCAGCATTCTTTTGTTCGACTTTTGGGTTTGTTATGACTTCTGCCATACCAGTACGAGTACTCGCAGGAGTTCGTTGAAGATTSAACGCTTTCAGCATGTGGTCAACATGTGCCGATTTCTGTATTCATTCCCTCAACACGTTTTAAATCATCTTTCGAAAYCAAAGAGCTCACTCCGTGTCCACAAGAGTTTCGGAAAATTCAATGAGCTGCTACTAGTACTAGCGACGATTCCATAATTGGAATAACTATCCTACGAATTCTTTTGCATTACAAACCAGAAGTTACTCGTCTTCAAATTTTGTCCTTGACCTTCATTCCATAGTAAATGAAACCTARAACTAATAGATTCCCTATATCTTAGACTTGAAGAATATCATACTGATTTTTCACTCAATAGTTCCAAAAGGCTCTTCCAGCGCATCTGTTTCTTCCAGGATCCGGAGCTCTTCTACCACTGACAAGAAATAATGGTATTCAAAACAATACAAAACCACTTGGTGGAGGCACCTCTTACTCTTCTGGGCCCTCAAGCTTCTTAGCCTTCCCTGGATTGTCGTGTCTTGGTTCCGTGTTTTGTGTTCGGGACATCTTCGATCGGATAGTTGTAAAACAAGTGCGAGAGGAGCTGGGAATTCTSAGAGGTCTTCAAAACATGTGGAATGKAACCAAATWCAGCTGGTTACTCGCGATTCCGCTACAAGAATGCATCGACTKCCAAAACAAGTACACGAATGRAAAGACCACTGCCCAAACCGACGAGCTGTCTTYCTTCGGAGATCTTGCCCCTGGTGGAGGGAGGGGGCGACAGGAGGCACCCGAATCGGCGGTGTCTCTTTGGGGAGACCGAGCCCCGGCATTTTYCCTCGGACGACGGAAACKTTCGCCCYACGCGATTGRAAACGAAACCCAGCSTGCAAACCGCTCGATCCCGARAAGGGCGAAACKACAGCAACCACCAATAAAACAACAACYGGAGCTTGCCCTCGGAGAGGAACCCGACGGACGGACCGAATCAAGACCGCGACGCGAGGCTCCTGGGAACGCCCCGRTCCCCCTCTGGCARCCGCACCATCKCGGGGACCGAACGSACTATTCTGCGAYCCACAACGATTCATTCGATGTCGCGTGGGACGACGRAGTGCTCCGGGCCCTCTCGTTCAAAACCAGTTGCCCGGGCCGTGGCGCTGTCGTGCTATTGGTTTGTGAAAGCATCCGGAATCGGTTCTGCGCAACTCCCATGCTATTGTTTTGTACCSTRCTTGTTGGTGTCTCGCATTCCCGCACCCCTCGTGGGCATCGGGAGGAAGAGCAACGGGTCCGGTCGTTACGCTACGGGCCTCCCGTTCGGCCCGGCCGGATCCCCGGTCGGATYCCCCCCCGCCAGGTCCCAGACCCCCCCGCAAAAGACCTCGCGGATGGAACAGGTCACGGGTTCCGATTCCAGCGTGTAGTTTCTCCAAAAGCCCCCGCCTTGCAGAGGCCCGGCCGCCGAGAGGACAAACTCCGGCAGGATGCTGAACCTCCGAAAGATCTGGCCAATCCCGACCCTCCCGGACTCGACGAGGTCTTCCAGGTCCCTGTTGTGCACCTCGACGAYGGAATCCGCCGTGCAGACCGTGGTGTTGCCAAACATCACCAGCTCGACCCTGCGGTCCCAMACCGCGGGGGATGCATCCCCTTGCTCCGCCTTCCGCCGGCGGCAGTAGACSACCTCCACCACGACCGGGGCGTCGTAGTAGGAAGAAAAGAGGCGCTGGAGGTTTCCGTTGGCCGTGACGGCCATCCGATCCAGGGGGTTGGTGATCCCGTAGGTTTGTGCGAGGGAATAGCTTTCCGACGTCACCAGGCCGTCCCGGAAGAGCTCGTCGGCGTCGTCGACGGCYGGCGACATGATGTCCCCGAGGGTCCCCCCTCCCCCGGAGGCCCCGCCGAACGGCGGCGGYGGCGRAGCAAGGGTGGCACCGGTGCCGGAMGGAGCCAAAGCCACCGGCCCGCTGCCTCCCCCCCYGGAGCCGGGGGACGGATCCGTGGCGTTCCCGCTCCCTTGAAAGGCTCCGCCGTTCTCGGCGTGCAGGACGCGCTCGGAGGGAGSTCTGGTCGGTCCCCCGTACGGCTCCGGCCAACCCGACCGGGAGCCCCCCCCGAAACGCCCCGCCCGGCCGGAGACCAGGGCCGAGACCGCTGCGGGAACAAGAACCCCCGGCTCYGGGCCAAAACGAAGGGCCCACAGCACCAGAGCGGCGACGGCGAGCGCACGCTCGAGCGACGGGCCCGCCATTGCGAATGGCTGCCGCGCTTCGATGTCTCGAGGTGTCTCTTCGCGCTTGCCTTCCCSCGAAAGGCTTCGGTTGTGTTGGACCGACGATTCGGGATGGCGTCTCGTCTCGAGTTGCGCGCTCCGCTAGCTCGMTCCGAGTGCGAACAGATCGATCCACCAATGGCAGTGACAAAGACGGGGCGTAGAAAAACAAGGAACCCGTTGGTCGGTTCCGTTCCGTTGTGTTTTGTTGAGTTGCGTCGTGTTGTGTTGTGTATCGGTAGGGTATGCGATGTTGTGTGCTACTCCATTCTACTTGTCTGCGATTCGGTGCGAAGGGAATGTTSTTCTGCCCCAATCTGGTACGCTCTTGTAGTGTATGATGCGATGCCACGCAATCCGGAGGGGAAAGAACAACAACGCAAAAAGGTCGAGGAAGAGCACAACAGCTTTCGAGAACGAGAACGAGAACGAGACGAGAGAATCTGAGCCAGATGGAAATGCGATTTTTGTTCACAAAAAAATGGTGGTTTGGGATAGTTCGTACTACACACGTTACGATTTCGTACGGTACGGTACGGTAGGAGTTGCGAGGAGGAGTTCTCCCTAGGCTAGAGCACGAGTTACTCAGCACGGAGAAAGAAAAGGATGAAATTCTCAAATGACGGAGTGGATTGGATTGGATTGGATTGGATTGGATTGGATTGGATTGGATTGGATTGGATTGAGTGATTCGATTCATTCGATCCATTCGATTCGACAATTCGTTCCACTTCTGTGTGTTACAGAAACCAAAACAACCGCGCACGCCACACAAACGGGCGCATACCCGGAGCAAGCCCGTCGAGTTTGAAATTTCGTACAGTAGGAAGTACTGGTACCGGTAGGATTAATGGCCCAGCCGGTTCCTCACAAAACCCTTTTTTGGTCGCACAAAATGCCGAACACGTGTTTCCCCTCCCCCCAAGAGGGGTTCCCTCCGTTTCGCTCCTACTGTATCGGTTGGCGGTCGAACGCGGTGGCCTCATCCTCTGGGCGCGACGGAATCGGTTTCGCGCCCAAACGGGAGCGGTTCACGATCTACGGTACGTTCGGTACGCTATGTGCTTTACGGACGGAATAGCATCGAACGGAAAAAAAGAATGACGGGCACGACTGAGTACGAAGCACCGTAGAAGTTCTTCGTAGTATTTGTACGAGATATGGCGTACCGTGCAGAAGTATGTACTCGTATGTGAAACAATACGGTACCGCATCGCACTTTCACGAGCAGGAATACAACATCATCATGCATGCCTTCAAATACCATACGATATTTCGTACGATTACTAATTACTTCTACTACCGTACGGTATCTCCCGTATCGCATCGGACAAGAATTGGGTAAGACTTCCGCGTCGGATGTCGTCTCGACGCAATCTCTTTTGTTTCCCTACCATGGGAGTGACCGACCGGACGGCAAAGAAACCAAAACACACCGGGCCACGGAACACAAGCCCAAGCCGAGAGCCCAACCACCGCGCCTAGCACACCACGAGCACGCATCGCATTGCATTGCACAACACCAAAACAGACGGGCACAAAGACGAAGACGGCGATGCACCCAACACCACAAACCAACACCGCCACTGCTGCTTTCGGTCCGAGCGTACGGTAGCTGTTGCCCCTGGAGAATGAGGAGCGGTTCTTCGGAACGAGCCTCGGTTGCGGCTGCGGCGAAGGCCGCGGAGGGGTGGCCCCTACCGGGATCGACACCGGGTTCCGCTGCCCTYCTGTGGTCTCCCCCGAGGATCCGGCGGGGGTGGCACGGAAACGGAGACGGACAAGGSGGGCCACCCTTCGAGCGAGAACCCTTTGCCCGCATCGTTCCCGCCGTCGCCGTCGCTTTCCCCCCTCCYACCGGGCCCGCCGCGAACGCCCGGGGGCTCCCCGACGCCAGAGAAGAGCCCGGTCCTGCTCCCGCGCTTTCCCCTTCAAGGCCTTCCTCCCTTCCGGGCACCGGGTCGAGCTGCGCCGCCGACTACCGGAGGAGGCTGGAAGCAGTCCGGGAGCGGCGAGCCCTGCTGAGAGACTCCCCCGATCGCCGGTGGCCGGTCGTTGCAAAAGMAGCGACAGCAACCGACGCAAAAGCAAAGGAAACAAAGGCAATGGCAACCAACGCAACGACGAACGCTCCCCGCGGGCGGCCCGACCGAGACGGGTACCGCCCCCACTCCCTTCCACTACACCACCACCACCCTTTCCCACCCCGAACGAACGGAACGATCGGAAGGAATCTCTCCCCGGGAAAGCCGTGGCACCGCACCGGTGCGATGGTTGGGGACGGACCGAAGGAAGCTTCCGGGAATCTCTCTGCGGTCGTGGCATCTTCCACCGGATCCCCCTTGTGCAACGACAGGAGCCTCCCCGACGGCAAGAGCAGAAACGAGAGCCAAGACGACAGCAAAGACAACACGGGCATCGACAACAACAACAACAACAACAACAACAACAACAGCCGCCAGGGCCACGGCATCCTCGAAAGACGCAGCGACGGCCAACACCCCTTCCCGGCGGAAGCCTGCCGGGCCGCTACCGGGGCAAACGGACACCGCGGGTCCACCCACCACCACCGAGCCCCATCGGCACGCCCCCACACCAAGCGGGCCCGGTCGTCCCTCCGCCGGGTGCTCTGCCGGCCCCCGGAACCCGCCGTGGACACGGGGTTTGCCCAGATCTGGGGAACCCAAGAGGCAGGGGGGGGCGTCTTGCGCGAGCGCCCGGTCTCGAGCGGCGCCCGGCCCGGGGCCGATCCGTGGTACAAGAGGCCGGCCGGAACCGGCGGTGGAAGGGACCACCCGTTCGAGCGTGTCATGCACGTCGTGTGGTTCGTCACGGAACCGGAACAGTAGGCACCACCACCATTCCGGGAACGGAACGGATTCGATTCGATTCGATTCGATTCCGAGCGAACCATCCGGTGTGCCGGAATGCAACGAAAGGCATCCCGCGGTCCATCGAGAAACAAAACCATACACGCAATGCTACGCGCAACGTCTCAAAAGCAAAAAGAAAGCTATGCAGAACTATCGTTCAAGCAACCTTGACGTCCTAGCCATTCTAAATCTAGTTACGGTTTCGGCATTCCGCTCCTTTTCGTCTTGTTGTCGAGTGCTGATATTCTAGGTCTCTCGCAGCACTCAGACCACATCTATTCTCGAGGCTTCGAAAAACCAGTATAGATGGATGCGCGCATCCATCCATCGACCGAGGTTCGGGTTCCGAATCATTCTTTTGGTGTTCGTCCTCTAGTTCATCTCTCCCGTCCCGAACTTTTCGCGGAGAACCTCGACTTCTTCTCGGGTCAGTTCCAGCCACACCTCGTTGCGCCGGAACATTGGAAGCGTGAACGGCGGGTTGTAYCCCCAGAACTGGTAGTGCTGCAGCACGTAGTCTTCCGTCATGCGGTCGATCCCGTCCTCCCGCAGCTGCGCCGACAGGGCCCTGGCCTTGTCGTCGTGGAGCTTCTCGGTCAGGCTTCCCGAGTACCTGTGGACCACACCGACCTGCGGCGGAAGCTCGGTGATCTTTACGTCGGGGTTCGTCGGTTTCGGAATCTTTTCGAGCGCGTCGTATTCCTCCGGGAGGAAAAACTTCATGCGCTTCCGCCCCGYCCCCTCGGTCGTCCCTTCCATGGCCACCGGCGCCGTCATGGCCATCGGGGTGCCCTTTCTCTGTTCCATGGCCACCGGAGCCGTCATGGCCATGGCCTCGCCGCCTTCGTTCTCGGCCGTTCCAAACACGCCGATGTATCTCGCCAGTGCCCGGAACGGGGTTCCGGTGTTCTTGTCGCCGCCGGCGTATTCCACCTCGGCTGGATTTTGGGTTCGATTTCATTCGATTCGATTCGTTTCGTTCCGTTTCCATTCACACAACAGAGGGAGAAACCAAACAGCCCGACCAGCGGGGGAAAGCAAAGCGTTGTCAGGAAACCCCCCGTGCTAATGCACAGCATGCCTACGTTCCGTGGCGACCAATCGCGCGAAATTCTCACCTACGAAACGGGTTCCGTATTCGCGGATCTGGTAGGGAGTGGGAACGATCCCCGATCGCTGGAGGACCGTCTTGAACGCGGGCTCTTTCACGGTCTCTTTTCCGAATACACTGCCCATGGTCGACGCGGGTTGTTTTGTGTCCTTCCTCGTTCGGGGTGCTTAAACAAAAATCTACAGCACTGCCTCTAGTGTGTTTGGTTGGCGATCTGTCGTTGCCAGAGAAGTTTTTCGGGAGACGAATCAAAAAACGAAAAAATTACCACTTGTACCGGACAAATACGTTCGAGTACCGTACAGTGTCGATCATGGTCTCTGATGTTTTTAAATTTTTTAATGCGTCCGGTAACACGTATGAATGCATCGTCACCCTGGCGCACCGTACGGTACGGTAAGTAGAAATAACTACTATGCGAGATTGGGTGATTCCGGCAAACAGATATCCATAATACTGTACTACAAGTACTGTATTACAGTATTCGGGAATGTTTGCAGTGGTACTCGTACTAAAAGACAAATGCACGACTGGATTTGTTCCAGCTGCATTACTTGGTTGTACGGTATGGTACATTGAAGTACGAGTACTGGTACCATACTGTGCTTCGTACGTAATAGCATTCAGGCTTCTAAATTATGACCCCTGGAAGTATTTACAGTCGAAAACAAGGGCAGTTCAATCGTGTGATCGTATTTAGTTAGTAGCAAATAGCAAACACCAGAGGTCATAATAGACCCCTGGCAAACACTTCGGTGTGACCGTAATCATGGAAGTCGAAACATTAAAAAAAAAGACTAAAACAGTTTTGACTGTAATTGGTTCGCAAAGCGAAGGGGGGGTCTGGGGGGGTGGAATTTCCAGAAACTTTCCGGAGCAATCTTTTTAGTCGTAGAGCCAGTAGGGTTTTGAACTATAAGAAACATCGTAAAACAATAAAGTTACGGGAATGAGATGCCAGCATATATAACTCATTGCTGGTGGTGGCGTGCAATGTAACAAATAACAAATGAAGCACCAATGATGATCGTTCGAACCATGGTCAGAAATCACGATAAAAATGCTAACAAAAAGCACGGAGTGATGAAATCGGGCTTTCGTACGAACGAGCATCGATGCTTCACACGTACACATAGGATGTACGTGTGAAAGTACGTACGTACGTTTAAAAATCACTCGTACGATAACAAATGAAGCACCGATGATGATCGTTCGAACCATGGTCAGAAATCACGATAAAAATGCTAACAAAAAACGGAGTGATGAAATCGGGCTTTCGTACGAACGAGCATCAATTCTTCACACGTACACGCAGGAGTACGTATGTATGTGTGAAAGTACGTACGTACGTTTAAAAATCACTTGTACAGCTAGCACTAGTACAGCTAGCACTACAGCTAGCACTACAGCTAGCATTACAGCTAGAACTACAGCTAGAACTACAGCTAGCAAGTAGTAGTATTTACCAGTAGTAGATCTAGTACTGAAAGTACAACAACTGCTAGTATTACTTTTTCTGGTACTACTTCTGTTTTTCACTACTAGGATTTATATCTATATCTACTATATCTAGATGTAGACTGCACAATAGCAATATTGTAATCAGTACTATCCAGCTCAGAGCTGGATCTGGGGATGGACAAGCTGCAGCTGGAGCAGCTCCATACAGTTACAGCTAGGAGCCTTACAGCTAGGACCTTTACAGGTAGGAGCTTTACAGCTACTAGTAGGAGCTTCACAGGTAGGAACTTTATAGGTAGAAGCTTTGCAGCTAGCTTTGCAGCTAGCTTTGCAGCTAGCTTTGCAGCTAGCTTTGCAGCTTGCTTTGCAGCTAGCTTTGCAGCTCGCTTTGCAGCTTGCTTTGCAGCTTGCTTTGCAGCTAGCTTTGCAGCTAGCTTTGCAGCTTGCTTTGCAGCTTGCTTTGCAGCTTGCTTTGCAGCTAGCTCTGCAGCTTGCTTTGCAGCTAGCTAGCTTTGCAGCTAGCTTTGCAGCTTGCTATGCAGCTTGCTTTGCAGCTTGCTTTGCAGCTTGCTTTGCAGCTAGCTCAGCATCACTAGTAGTATCAGCAATAGCAATATTGTACTCAGTACAAATATATCTACTAGATATTAACACAACAGCTAGCACAACAGCTAGCAAAACAGCTAGCAAAACAGCTAGCACAGCAGCTAGCAAAACAGCTAACAAAACAGCTAGCACATAGCTTAACAGCTAGGAGCTTTACTATAGCTAGCTTCGTCCGAGAGATGCTTCTTAGGGTATAATTTTTGTTTGTCGCGACCATAATTTGTGCGTGTTTTTAACACGCGCGGCAAAAACTACACCCTGTTATTCCTTTGCTATCGCGCCCMCACTGTTGACCACTTTAACGGACAGTACCATTTTTATTTTTATTCGTGACATTGAAAAAAATAATTCATTTGTGCATGTCACGCGCACCAAATATAATTCCATTAATGAATGAAAATTTTCCAATACCCGTAACAAAGTAATATTTTAGCATGATCACATCGTGACCCCCAAAAAAGACTCAATTGTCAACTTTTTTACTATTGTCATCAATTCCTTTCTCAAGTTTCTTGTAATCTATTTTCAAAATGTTAATTCTCACATACGGAATATTACTCCCTATCCTTTTTTTGTATTCTGGACTACTGCTCTATACTACTGGTAGAATAAATAGATTCTCAAAATATGTAATATATACTACTATTGATTTTCAATTTTATTNCTCACCTACGAAACGGGTTCCGTATTCGCGGATCTGGTAGGGAGTGGGAACGATCCCCGATCGCTGGAGGACCGTCTTGAACGCGGGCTCTTTCACGGTCTCTTTTCCGAATACACTGCCCATGGTCGACGCGGGTTGTTTTGTGTCCTTCCTCGTTCGGGGTGCTTAAACAAATATCTACAGCACTGCCTCTAGAGTGTTTGGTTGGCGATCTGTCGTTGCCAGAGAAGTTTTTCGGGAGACGAATCAAAAAACGAAAAAAATACCACTTGTACCGGACAAATGTTCGAGTACCGTACGGTACAGTGTCGATCATGGTCTCTGATGTTTTTAAATTTTTTAATGCGTACGGTAACACGTATGAATGCATCGTCACCCTGGCCTGGCGCACCGTACGGTACGTAGAAATAACTACGAGTTACTATTAGCGAGATTGGGTGATTCCCGCAAGCAGATATCCATAATACTGTACTACTGTATTACAGTATTCGGGAATGTTTGCAGTGGTACTCGTACTAAAAGACAAATGCACGACTGGATTTGTTCCAGCTGCATTACTTCGTTGTATGGTACATTGCAGTACGAGTACTGGTACCGTACTGTGCTTCGTACGTAATAGTATTCAGGCTTCTAAATCATGACCCCTGGAAGTTACTACAGTCGAAAATAAGGGCAGTTCAATCGTGTGATCGTATTTAGTTGTACGAAGTAGCAAACACCAGGGGTCATAATAATAGACCCCTGGCAAACACTTCGGTGTGACCGTAATTCTTACTAGTACGGGCTAACGCATGTCTGTAACGGTTCAACGCACCTTTTCTACGAATACTTGGTACGTACGGTACCATTTAGAAGTAATCGGTGATAAAATTACACCTAGAATTTACGCATAATTTTAGGCCAACCACTACTATCTTTGTCAGACCAGTTCTAAGCGGACAGAGCATCCTTAAGCATCCTAATGACCTGGATCGCTAAGTAATTGTATCATCTTGGTCTGGGCGATTAGTCTGCTGGTATAAAGTTGTTGTTTTTTGATAAAGATCACGAAGGCTATCATATTTGCATACCGGTATCTCTGGCTCACTTCCTTTTCCAACGAAGGTCAACATGGAACAAAGCCGAGATGATCAATTTGAAACAAGCCGCGGTGACCAAGACTTCTACTTCAAACACTAAGAAGTCGTCAACATTGTTTTATCTACTGGCGATCTGCTTTGTTCAGGCCGGTATCTTTACGCTGTACAAGGGGCCTCTGCAACATTTTATATGGACCAGTGATATCCTGTCGAAGGCATCCAGAGAAACGAATTTTACTGGTGGTGATAACGACTCTGTCTCCATCAAGAACGAGCAGGAGCACATCATCGCTTCTGATCATGTAATCCAATGGACACCCCGAGAAAGGAATGTCACTGGCAGTGAAAACATCTCTGTCTCGAACAGGAACGAGAACGAGAACAAGCATATCAGCGCCTCTCCTCTTGTAACCCAAGGGACACCTGGAAAGAGGAATATCACTGGTAGCGATAACGACTTTATCTCCAACAGGCACGAGAACGAAAACAAGCATATGAACGCCTCTTCTCTTGTAACCCAAGGGACACCCGGAGAAAGGAATATTACTGGTGATGAAAACATCTCTGTCTCCAACAGGAACGAGAACAAGAACAAGCATACTAGCGACCCCCCTCTTGTAATCCGAGGGAAATCCTATGAGTATCGTTCCGATTATCGGTTTGAACACATCCAGCGGAGCACTACCTGCAAGGGGCGCCAGGGAATCGAAAACAGAACCCTCCTACRCATTGACACCAGCAAAGAAGGTAGCTTCCCGGAAACCCAATTCACCGACTACATCAACAAAACAATCATTTCAAATTTCAACACCAACCCCCGATCGGATTTCTGCAACGCCTTCACGTTTTCCATCAATGAAGGCAAGTCTAACGCACAGATAGAAATCGCCGACATTGGTAATAAGCGCTTKAMRAGAACCTTGGGTCACTACATGAAGCTCTTTGACAACTATGTTTTTTCCGAGGATTGTGAACGTAACGTCCCTCGGTCTCCGTCAGTTCTMGGAGAAACAGAACAAACGCTGGTAGGCTTCGTATTAGGCGATGTGGCTRAAGAGGTTGATCACAACTTTCAGTGCCTTGCACTCGGTTCTACCGCGGGAACACCTTTTTCCACCTTTAATTTCGAAACAGTGCGTGATTTGGTTGGAAATTACCACACTGCCAAACTCGACAATCGATTTGCCCACCTTGCCGAGGTTCCATGGGAGAAACGGGATCCGATTCCGGTCTGGCGGGGAACTTTGTGGGGCTGGAAAGATTATGGCGAACGATTCTTTATGCAAGAGAAAAGAGGAAGATTAACGCTCCCAGAAATCATCGACCACTGGTTTACGCCCGACCCTAACACGCACCACCAAAGAGTCCCCCTTACGGGATTTTCGCTYAAACGTCCAGATCTTTTGAACGCCCGGGGGAAAATGGAAARMATGGTTTCCAAACACTAYCCCACTGCGCAATTCTTAGCAGCRGTTGAAAAATTAACGAACACCACCAAGTTCACGATAGATGACATCTTTCTCCCGTTCGATCAAATCCCTCAGTCGGATTACTACTCCAAGTTTCAAGTTGTTGTGGTCATGGGAGGTATTGGAGCTGCCTTTCGGACGGCCGACCATTTGGCCATGGGGTCGGCCGTAATCATGCAAGATTATCCATACAAGGAATGGTTCTTCCCGTATATGACCCCCTATGTGGATTACATCCCATTGGAGATGCACCTTGGGAACCTCGAAGAAACCCTTCGGTGGGTCAAGGACAATCCGCAACATGTGAAACGAATTGCAAGGAATGGTCGGTTGTTTTACGAACGATATCTATCCTACGAAAAGATTGAAGAATTCTATTAYGAGCTCTTCTACCGTTTGGTTGAGGCCAGGATCTATAGGGGAATCCAATACACCATCGAAGCCGAAAGGAAAAAACCCGTAAAGAAAGTCACAAAGAAGAGCAAACGAGGAAGGATATGAGACGTACTCCGAAAGGTACCGCYAATGCAGCGATGGTATGAACCACATGATTCGCCGGAAAAGATGCCAAGAGACTGAGTTCGATCAAACGCGAAGCGATCGTCTTGTTGCTTTCGGTATRAACAGAGTCGAAGGCTGCGCTCCCTTTGGGGGGGAGGAGGTTGGGATCGACTCTGTCCCAAGCATGTTTGTTGTTCCGGTGTGTATGCAACAATCGCCGGTGGTTTAGAGATGGCTAGAAAGCGAACTATTTATAATTTACAATTTCATGCAAAATCAGGGTACAAATATTTGCAACTAYTGTACTCGAAGCCCTAGCTGTTCTTGAATGAGGTGAAACCCATGGGTGTCGTCTATCGCTGTCCATYCCATAGAATCACGACATGMACGCCGATTCGTCTCGTCCGGTCTTCTTCCTCTGTTCGTCGGAAACGTTTGGTGGGGGCACGGCTGTGTGCATTGCACGAATGGGGGCTCGTGGAGCGTGGGCCTTGACCAGCTTACAGCGACGCAAAAATCTTGATTCTTCGTTTTGGTGAGTATACCTCGTAGTTGTCGTATTCGAGTATGGGGGTTTCCTTGGGCAGTTCCGAAAATTGGGCACAGCACGGCATTGCGACGCACAATTTCGGGGTCGGCATTCGTTCCCAGAATTCCTCGAGGGGGGCGTGCGAATGGCAGGCTATGGCTATCGAAAGCAACCTGGGGATCTCGGAGGTGCTCTCGCCACCAACACCAATTCCATCTCCGTTCCGAGGAGGCGGTTGCTTGGTTGTCTCTTCGATCGAATAGTCCTGCGAACAACCACTGAAAAGTTCGATCCTGTCGTGATACGAGGTCGTCTCGTTCGTCTTTGCGACCCCAACCGCGGTGCTTGTTGGCGTCTCTGCCGGTGGGCTGTCTTGTTTTGGAAGAAGGGGGTCGATGGCAATGAATTTCCAATCGCTCTCGTCGTTTTTCTTCAGAAAGAGCTCGAGGGCCGCGGCTCCGACCGGSAGTTTTCCGTCCCCCAGACAGTAGCAAACGATGCGCATGTCTAGATCGGACGAGTTGCATCGAAAGGCGAGCTTTATTCCCCGTTCGAGTGCATCCACCATACCAAAGGCCTCGGATATTTCTTTTGCGTAACGGTGAGCCGATCCACATCCCAGGATCGAAACATCTGAGAGCATGCGCARCAACTTTGCATCTTGCTCTCGCCGGTGCCTGCTGCTGCTGCTGCTGCTGTTCTCTTCCTCGAAAGGCGTGGGACCCTTTTCTATCAGTGCCGACAATCTCTGGATGAGTTTCGTCGCGTACACGCCCGAGGGAAACGGGTATTCCATCTCCCGGAGAAAAATCGCGTTGTGCGCATACGTSACGGCCGGTCCTCCCCCGTTTCCCCGCCCCTCCGATCCGTTTCCGCGCTTCTTCTTGCCTCCGCGGCGGCCACCGCCGGGGGCCAGCGGAAGGGGGTCCTTCTTCCGGGGGGTCCCCCGGCGCTGGCGGATGCCCCGCACGATGGCGGTGTGGGTGGCCGGGTCGGTGATCCGCTTCCCGTCCCCCTCGACCCCCCACTCGGGCCTCGCGCACAGGACGCAGCCGCGGAGGGCCCTCCCGTGCAGGGCCGCCAMMGCTTTTGMAGCGGCCTCCTGGCTCCCGTACTTTGCCCACGCGCGGCCGCCCCCCCTGGCGAAGGAGAGCTCCGAGGCGTCGACCTCGAGCGGGGGTCCGGCGCCGCACGACGAGAAGAGGTCCAGGAGCTCCTCCCCGCTTGTCTGCTTGTCGATGCCGGTGAGGTAGACGACCCTGGGCTTCTCCCCCCTGGGAGGCCTCGAGTGCCGGAGCGGGGGACGGAGGATGCGGGCGGCCGGTCCGTCGTCTCCGGTTTCGGTGTCGTRGCGGCTGCGGCTGCGGGGGTTGCCCTCGGTTTTGCGCCTGTGCCAAAACCAGCGATACGCCATTGCGGCGATCGAAAGGGTAGTGACAGAGACGGCAGGGAAGAGAAGCAGCAATCGATTGCTCGTCGCCGGCCGTTGGGAGCCCATCATGGATGAGTTTGTGGAATCCGATCTGTTGTGTTGTGTTGTGTTGTGTTGTCGTTGCTGTCGTCTGTTCCGCCCGGCTTGTGTATGTGCTGTGTATGTGCTGTGTATGTGCTGTGTATGTGCTGTGTGGTGTTTTGCAGAGTAACGGAATGGAAGGTTCCAAAACAACAAACCACGACGGATCGATTGATTCGGTCCCGGAAGACTGGAAGGCCGCACCGACCCTTGATGCAGTGTTGCTGTGACACGGCTTCGCACCTAGGGAGGAATGGTTGGACTTTCTTTGAAAAAAATTCCGTGAAAGGATCGCTTCGTTTGCAACACGGCCGTTCTCCCTGTTATGGGAGAGAAAGAAAGGCTACTACGGATGGAACGACGGGAGCGATGCCGTGGTTGTGGTTCTGGGCAAGCAAGTCAAACGAGAACAACTCCTATAGTAGTTGGTTAGTGAATCGATCTTGTTGGCGGCGATGGGTGCACATTGCGCTCGGGTGGAGTCTTTGGTTTGCASCGACCATTGACTGTCCGGGTGGTGGAACAGAACAGATCTCTTCGATTCATTCATCCACTGTTCGCCACCCATCGAAATCGAATCAAAAATCCAAGGGACAGTCGATCCATCGATCCATCAATCCATCAAATCAATCTCAACACCAAAATCTATTTGTACTATGTATGAACGTACGTACGTACGTAACATATTGTCCTGTACTGGTACGTACCGTACGAAAGGAGCGTTGAAAGGCAACGACTCGTTGGACTTTGGCCGGGGGGGGGGGAATGGTTCGTACGTACCTCATACAGACAGTATTTATCGTACGCTCCATACATACTGCGTGTACATACGGGTATCACGATGAGAAACGATAAATCGACTGCCCCTTTTTGCGTYTTGTCCTACCGCTACCGGTACCGATACAAGCACACTCTTTCTAGACACAACGATTCTTGTTGCCCATCTAGTCCATTGAGCACAAATGTAGTACTTCTACAAGTTATCAACCAGCACGGCAAAAGGCGGATCAGGAGGAACTGCCGGTGATACGATCCGATCTGCGTTGCAGTCGACGACGACGAACCGTGTTGGTGCGGTTGCGGTTGCAACAGCACCACTGCACCGTTCTCGCAACTGCGGCTGTTAGTTACGACTAGAACACACGGCATCGCAATTGCTAGCCACGTGGGCAATATTTGGGTTGTGGCGGGCGATTGCGTTGTGATGGCACGGGTTGAACATAGRCTGCTCCCAATCTCTGYTCGTTYKCCGGATACGGTTCACCGAAAYGATTTTTTTCTAAAAGAGAGAGAGGCTGCTTGTTGGCTTTCCAATACTATCGTTACTTTCCCAAACAGMGGTTCTGTTCTCGCACGGTGCAAGCATAGCACGCACCATGCCTCTAGGTTTCCATGGTCTCGTCTTCCGATTTTTCTTCCTCGTCGTCGTCGTCGTCGTCCTCGTCTTCCTGCGCGTTCTTCACCTCCAGCTTGTCCAGGTACGGCTGGAGGGCGTCCCCYTCTAACAGGACGTATTTCTGGTCCTTTCCTACATACGCAATGCTTCCGTTCTCCTTCGTGAGCTCGTCGTCGCCGCTCACGCATCCCACCAGTGCCTGGAGGGCGTGGACGATGAGGTCGTCCAGGGAGGCCTCCGGGAAGGACTCGTAGTGCTTCTCGAGGTAGGTCCGGGCCGACTGGCTCCGGGCCCCCACCGCCGAGGCGTAGAATTCGTACATGTTTCCCGACGGGCAGGTCTGGTAGAGGTGGGGCGTCTGGAACTGCGGGTCCACGCCGGCCACCAGCAGGCCGACCCCAAAGGGCCGCCTGACGTACGTCTGGGTCGTCCGCTGGTGCTTGTCGGCCAGGTCGCCCATGATCACGGCGGGCGTGATGGGGGCCCCGTAGACGTACTTGTGGTTGAGGCACTCGTTCCGCATGTACTTGGCCAGGGACCGGGCGTCCGCCGTCAGCCCCGCGATTCCCATGCAGATGTGGTCGTCGATCTCGAGGAGCTTCTTCTGGTGGCTCGACAGCTCGCTCACCGACCGCTTGAGGGCCCCCAGGACGACGTGGGTGCCGCTCTTGACGCCCACGCAGGCCGATCCCTGCTTGACGGATTCCATGGCGTATTCGACCTAAGGAGGGGGGCAGTAGAAGAGCGTGCGAAACGCAACAGAGCAAAACAAAGCATGGTGGGTGCGGCATGATGCTGCGGGTGAGCGACGCTGCGGTGCGGTGCAGTGCAGTGCGGTGCAGAAGCGACAGAGAGTGCTGCATTCGCCGCGAAGCAACAAAGATCATCCATGGCGTACCTGGAGCAATCGTCCTTCCGGACTCCACACCGTGACATCCGTATCGTATTGGTTGCGGAACATTTTGTTACTTGTGAGTGTGTCTCTGGTTTCTCGGCGGCTTGGTGTTGTATCCGGGCGGTGTCGTTGTTGTTTGTTGTTACAGTCCAGATTTCTGTACGGTAACAGGAAGAAGTCAAACAAGCCGAAGCAGCGAACAAACAGTTGCAGTCACTCTTGCTTCCTACCGGTGATGGGGCGTGATTTTGCTCTCGAGACACACACACACACACACACCCGTCTTGCGTCTACCACTGCGCCGAGGCAGATCCATAGCTTTCTTTTGCTTTCGACAATAAAAGGATAAGGATAGGGATATTACTACTGTACGGAACGGTTCGTACAAGTACGGGTATGAGTTGTACTCGTACTCGTACTTGGAATCCTAAAATCCAGAAAACAGGAAACCATCGCATGGTAGATTTGTAACGTATGTGTCATACATACTATGATACTTATGAGATGCATTTCGAAACACGGTCCGGTATGCTCGCTTCAAACCGTAACGACTATTCTTCCGTTCTAAAAACTTGAAACGAACCTTGTACTTGCCGCGTTTCTATTGCTTATTGCTTCACAGCAGTATTCGTACCCTCTACACAAACAACCACCAGGAGAAGCGGCAACCATACGAAACGAGACCATGGTGGAACCACAACAGCAGCAGCAAGAACAAGAACAAGAACAAGAACAATCACCTCCGCACCGGGTGCAAACAACCATCGAGGACGACTGGAACAACATCGTTGCGCTATCGGAATACGATGCCGCGGTGGCAGCGATCGAATCGACCTTCGACCGCTTCCGGAGCGGAAACCAAGGCGAACGGGATGCCGAACACGGAGACGAACACGGAGACGGAGACGGAGGCGCACCCCCGCTGGACCGGGACGTGATCGCGGAGATCTACGAGGCGGCRAGGGCGTCGCTGCTGGCCAACGTGGCGCGCGTCGTTCGGCCCGTCCACGACAACGATTACAGCGATTACGTGGAYCGGTACCATTTTGTGTTGGACGACAGCGACGATGACGACAACGACAACGATGACAACAACGACGACAACAGCGAAGAGGAGGATAGCGATGGCGGCGAGAGCGAAGAAGAAGAGCAGGAGATCGACGAGGAAGAGCTCGTCGATGCAAAAGCCTGGGAGAACGCCCGGGAACTGCGAACGCGGGTTCGCACCATGGCGGCCAGGGTACAGAGCGTCCGAGAACGCGTGTTGAAACACACCGAGGAAGGGGTGTCTTCTGCCGTTTCGGGAAACCTCATCGACCCACAGGTTCGAGTGGTRTTCGACGGGGAACCGGAAGGCGATGGCGACAAAGACAACGACAAAGACAAGAACGACCTAACCAGTCCTTGTGCTTCGGAAGACAAGGAAAATCTCGTCGACAACAACGATGGCACACGCGGAAGCATTCGACAACGCAGAAAYAAACCCAATGCTTGTCCTCTGCGGAACTCGCTGGAGGAGTTGTCGGAGCTTCTAAAAGATCCGAAATGGGCAAGTCTCCCGAACCGAATACAATCCCTGCAAGAAACAATCGAAACCGTTCAGAGAGAGACAAGCGAAGATCGGGTCATGTCCCAAACCGAAACAGCGATCACCTCGMGGTACAAAAACACGATTGATGCGTCGGAGCGGCGAAGGGTCTTTGGGGAAGACTCCGGGGAGGACGGCGATTCGCTGCTCGCAGGCTCTGCTTCCATGGATCCGATGGATCGCCTGGCGCTCTTCGGACAGATTTTTTCGTAGCSGGTCGAGCCCCTGGTGCCGGGAACGCTTGGAATTGGAYCTCGGCTACAGCAATGCTTACCACCAGCAAAGGATACTAGTAGCGGAGTGTGCGCAAGACACCACAGCAAAGCAGAGAGATGGGTGCTGCTACACGTCTAGGGGTTTGTCAGATGCATCTCCGTTGTCATGGTTTCTAGCAGCAGCTGCAGCAGCGCCTTGTGTACTGGTGCCAGTACTGATACGAATGTTGTTTCTACTAGATTTAGGAACTGTTCTTCTTTTTGTTTTRTTGCATTATACTAGTAGGAGTAGTACTTTTGTCGTATTTTGAGCAACTGGTGTTGCTGAGTCAACGATTCTTCTTCGCTATTACTAGAAAAACTTGTTGCTGGGGTCGAGCAGGACACTCGATTTGCTACTGCTGCTAGTAGTACAACAGGAGCTAGAAGCAGAGACTTCCTGTTTTTTT